ACCATTTGACTGCTGGGATCGAACACACGAACACATGGGCATGGGCCCAGTGCCCTACCAATCAGGCTATCCCGGCGTAAGGACCGCTATTTGGTAAATATGATCTCAATAGTTTGGTCAGGACAACCATTGAAAAGTTAGACTCCTTTAATATTAATTTTACCTGTTGCGCATTTCGCCATATCTCTAATTTTTTAAGCGAATTGAAAAACTTTTGCTCACAAATTTAAAATTCGTTTATCCAAAGATAATTCCATGTAAAAAGTAATTTTTAATAATTATTTTTTATTTTATTGGATAATAGTTAAAAAAATTTCTGAATTGCAAAGTATACAAATTTTTAAATCATATTTAAGAATGCAATTTTATTTAGCAAAATACAAAATTCACACGAAGCATAGTTTCTGAAAAATCAAATTCAGACATGTCAGATATTTTAAAATTCGATTTCTCAGGAATAATTCGATTGATTTTGTTCTAATTTTGTATTTTCCCATATAAAATTACATTCGCCAAAATGATGTAAAAATGTGTGGCCTTACAATAGAAATTTTTTTCCCCGTTTTAAATAAAGTAATAAATACTTTTTGAAAATTATGTTTTGCTTAGAATTATCTTTAGATAAACAAATTTTAAAATTGTGTTCAAAAATTTTTAGATTCGCCGGAAAAGTTGTCGAAATATGACGAAATAAGCAAAATAATAATTATAATAAATAAATAAATATTGCATGGTTGTAACTTTTGACCATTCTCCTGACCAAACTATTGGGACCATATTTCCCAGAGCTGTTACTCCCTATATTTTAGGGGTCGAGAACCATAAACCGTCAAAAAATAAAATAAAATAAAAAGCTATGTTTATTCAGAGAAATTTTATGTTAGTTTTCGTAATTGAAAATATCGTCGGCACTAACTAATTACGATATTTAAAGTTCCCTTCTCGAACTATTAAGTCCTAGTACGTGAAAATCCAATCATTTCATCAAAATTGTTCATTGTTTTGAGTACTGTACATAAATCAACATTACTTAGTAGATTATTAATTAAAATATTGCGATATTTACAAGCTATTAATGATAAATTAGTGAACAATTCTAAAAATTAATATCTGATTCATATAATACATGTGAAAACTAAATTCGTCAAGAAATGTATATTTATTCAGAGAAAGAACATTTTTTTGTAAGGCTGTGTGTTACGAAATGAGTCGTTAGCATATTTTACGATTGTTGCCTTTTTGAACCATTATGATTGTCCTTAAATCGTGAAAATCCGATCATTAAAGCAAAAGTTTTTCAAGGTAATATAATTTATACTATGCGCTTTATACATGTACGAACATTGTCTTAAAAGTTTAAGCAAAAATTCATATAAATGAGAAACATATTATAAAAGTAATCTTGAATATATATAAATGTATAACATATGTGTATATTGGAATTTCAACGATGAAATTCTAATGTACGAAATAAGCGTTAGATTTTACAAATAGTTTTGAATACGTGATGCAGACTCTGACATTTTTTCTTCTTTTTTTTAAAATTTTATCTAATTTAATTGTGAAATTAATAATCTGAAGAATAAGTAAGTAACAACTGGTTACTATTGCGCGTAGGATTAATAGTCCCCCCCCCCTTAAGTTTAGGATTTTTGTTAAATTTGATTTTAAAGTATGATCTTTATACAACAGTTAACCAGTGTGACAACTTTTATTAAATATATATATATCTCCATATATCCTACAGGTGCTCTGCAGTTTACACGAACTTCAATTATTTGCTTTACGGGTATAATTATTTTATTAACTAGTTAAATTTTTAGTCAAAAAAAAAAAAAAAAAAAGCCTATATATTCTAGGCACTGATGTTGAAAATTTTATCCGACTACTTTTTTTCAGCTCATAAAAAGAATTTTTTACCCTTGAGGACACGAACAGCTTCGTGATGTATTATGACTTCGTTTCCTACTATTGACGATCCTTTGCAATCATCAAAGACACACTTATACTTTTTTGTATAACGTTTCACTTTTTTCGAAGCAGATACTCTTGAAATAAAATTAATTTACCACCTCGTATCCACTCTATGTACAAAGTGCGCCATTTATTTTTTATTTATTTTTTGAAAGTGTGCCAGCCTACCATAAAAAGTGATAAAGATAGAGGTGTTATCTCTCACACAAAATACCGGAAATTCAACCCCTTATCAACCCATACCCGATTTACAGGTACTCTTCTTGTAAAAGGAAAATTTTTTGTTTTAGTAATTTTGAATACTTTCTATTCATGCCCTGATTCACTTTTATCTTTCACTTATCTTACACTATAATATTTTAAATAGTTAACTCCCAAATTTATATACTTTTTTCATTATTTTGAATTAATTTAGGTCAAAATAGGTAAAAAAAATATTTTACTTAGCGTTTTAATAATTTATGGTTATAAAATACAACATGAACACAAGAGTCTTTTTCTGCGTTGATGGCAAAATTTTCCATACAATTTTCAAATTTGCAGTTATTTAGAACTATAAACTAAGAAAACCAATTATTCATCCTTGAAATTTCTTAAGTTTTCAAAATCAATTATTGATATATTTTTGAATAAGAATGTAAAAAAAAAAAAATTCTTTCAAAACTAGGTTTTTTTTATTTAAAATTTTTGAACAAATGAATTCCCGATAATCTAACAGATTTTTTTTAGTAACTATAAGTCTGTTTTTTATGTTAAAAAATGCCTAAATAAATTTTTGCTTGTAATTAGAGCAACTGAAAATAATATATTTATAAAAATCCGTCAAAAGGTTTTTGTCATTTTTGTAACTTTTCCCTTACACTTTACTGCGACGGTCAATGAACAAATAGCAACAAAAGTATTAATTTATTAAAATTTGATAAATTGAGACTTAAGTACTACGAATATCTTTTTCGAAAAATGTTTCATTTTTAATAAATTTTTTTTATTTGGCATCAAAGAATTTTTTAATCAACTCTTTTAATGTTTAGGTCTTTTTTAAATATTGCGTAACAAGAACATTTTAAATCTGAAGGACTAGTAGCATCTTTACTTGAACTCCATAAATAACTATTATTGCGAAATAGTGATTTTTTTTTTTACAATTATTTTAATTTTCTTACCCCGGTTTTGTCTTCATCTGTCCAGTTTAAACTATCGTTTGCACTTGTAAATAAGTATATTTAAGGTAAACCTTCGAACCGTTAAGCTGGTTTTCTGGTCTAGAGGTCCGATTTAAGCCTCATTTAAAAAGAAAAAAAATCAGTGAGATGAAAGGATGAGTTATATAACAATCTCACCTTTCAGCTGAATTTTTTCTAGCCCGAAATAGTTATAAATTAAGATATAAAATGACGAAGATGGTAGTGCCCGTCGAGCATTGATGGACAGGAATAGTGTATAATCTGAAACAGACTAGAGAGACCAATGTAGCTATTGTTAGAACCAAATGTATCTGAAGCAATGTCATTTTTTTCTCTCGCAAAGTAGCGTCTATTATTTTAAAAATAACATTACGAAAGTCTACTTTTTTGACACTTAAACGTACATAAAATAAATAAATAAATAATCGAAATTTTGAAAAATGTTCGTTTTTTGTTGGTTTCAATCATAGCCACATAAATTCTCTACAATTTTCTTAAAACGACATCCAAATCGATCAATCGGTGGTGTCTGGCTCATTCTGTACGCCTTCTTCGAACTCGTTCATTTCGTTGGCGTGCACTGCTTCCTTTCGAGCCGCATATCTGGCTTCTTTGCCGGAGGTAGTAATTGTAAATTGTCATTTAACAGATTTTCGTCTGTAGGCCATATCTTTTTCAATTGTATCAATAGTTTCCAGAAACAAACAGTCGAAATATTATGGTGGTGCGATGAGGTACCTAGCCAGAAAGGTGTATTCTCTCAGATGATGATGGTGTCTGTTCTTGAAGATGTTGCTTGCACTGATATGATGAAGAATACTGATGATGTAGATTCCAGTATCGGATATAAACAACTGAAGTGGTTAGACCACTGAGTCCAGTCTTGATTTGCAGAAAAATAAAATTAAGGCAGAAGAGTTCTTACGATCTCTAAAACCCTTATGATCAGAAAAAAGTATCTTAAGATCTTGATGAGTCCTTGCGAGTCTCTTAGTCTTATCCTGGGGGAATTTAGGCTATCTTCTGGATTTGATTGGTCCTTGTCGTAGAGGTATGAGGGTGTAGCTCGACGCACTTCAGGCAACGTTATTGGCAGTTGCAGTTCCTTTGAACATGGTCGTACAACTGGCATCGGTAGCATTGGATCTACCGCCGTCCACCCTTTTATCCCTCCACGATGATTTTGAAGTTCTCCATCTTGTTGAGGCTGTAGATCTTGCGATGTTGTTCTGTATTTTCCAAAATAATAAGTGAAATATAGTTTGTCTAAGCTAAGAACTCCTCCCTCCGCAAAGTTTGAGGCCGTCTGGTGCTATGGAAACAAGAGTGGCGCATTTTACAGAAGGTAGCTTCACTTTAGGACTAACACAATAGACCGAAGAAAGAGATTCCCTTTCTCTCGCAGTCCCGAGCCGAAACCACTCCAAAACAGTGACCCCCGCACCCCTACTTGAAATAGTCATACCTCGTTACCGTAGTCACCTCCACAGGTCCAGACGAATGGCTGGGGGAGTTCTTATTTCAGACAAACTATAGGTATGTAGGAGTCTCTTGTGGGCTTGCTAGTTCTCTTCCTGAATTGTACGATTTTAAAAGCAGTTGAAGTTTTTCTTTAAAAGGTCTCCCAGGGCATTAGTTTTGAAATCGGTAGGTAGTCCTTTGATGATGACTTTCAAGTTCTTTCTCTCGCTGGCTTAAAATAAGACTGTTCGGCAGCGGTTTCAGCTCATGGCTTAATTTAGAAATCCAGTGGCACAGTACTTTTGGGGCTCCCATTGCACCTAAAATTTTCGTGTACAAAATGCTTTTTAACTTTAACATAAGTAAATTATGATAAAATAGTAAATTTGTGCTTTTTTTTAATTTCAATTTTTGTTAGCTCAAATTAATAGACAATTCTTTAGGAAAAAACACGCATAAAATGTTTAATATTTCGGAGTCTCCCAGACATGTGTGGGCCCTAGGCCTTTCTGACAAGCCCTGCTTCAGTTGACGGGATTTCCATCGGTGTTGACTCTGGAAGGGAGAAGGCAAGGGTAGTCCATGGGCCGAAGTCTCAAAAGCAGCTCTAAACTTATTTCCGTCCCGACACTTGAGGGACAATTTTATTCTTCCAAAGTAAAACACAATCTTGGCTGAAAAACATAAATTCATAAATTTCTTCGAAATATGTCTGTCCATTAATTGATCAAAACAATGAGGAACTATTTAGTTTTCGCGAATTCGGTATTTAGCCTAAGAATATCCTAAGAGAAGCGTTACTGTTACTTCACTTGGAAATGAATAGGCCAATCAGAGCAAAAGTAGCTGTCTGTTAGCGTTCCAGTTCGTTCCAGTTTCTTTTGAACTTGGGGGAGGGGGGCATAATATCTCATCTGCAATGATTTTTCTTTTATAAAAAGAAATAATCATGAAAAAAATTTAACAATTTTAAATGAGCCTGAATTTTTGAGAATTGCTACCCTACTGAAAATAATCTGATTTCCTTTAAAAATCTGGGGATATTTCCCCCTTATTTATTAAAACGATTTTTATTTTCTTTTTATAAAATATATCACTTTCATTTTTTTAGTAAGCATAATATTCATTTGTCATACAAATAAATATTTTGAAATTTCTTTTGACATAAATAAAAATTGCATTTGTATAAGATCTATTGCATTTGTAGATGATTTTTATTTTTAATTTGTTTAGTACTCATTGTCTTAAATTTTCTTCAACTAAAACATGCTGAACATAATATTTTGATACATAATTTATTTTAACAATTTAACAAAGTTATGTTTTTTATTTTTTTAAATTTTAATGTACTCGTTAATTTTTAAAAACTTCAGATAAATTTGGAGAACATATATTTAACTTGTAGAATATTATTTTATTGATTGTTTAGTGTTTTTATCGTAATGTTTTCCTTTAATATTTCCAGTAGTTTTTGCTCTAAGTGTAGAAAAAAGCAAATACAGAGTGACCCAAAAAACCTTGGACAAGTATTGCTTTATTTATTTTTATTATGCAAGAGAAATTAATTCCTCACGATAACGCATCAATATATTTTAAAATTTAATTATGCTTTGAAATTTAATAATTTATTTACATTTATAAATATTTTCCTCAATATTTGTCCAAACAATGAGCGTTACAAAATTTATCGATCATATTTTTTAAACCAATATCTGAAGTTAAATGTTTACTTCAACTTATATTTTAATTGTAGAGCTTGATCTTGCATCTATATTAATTCTAATTCTCCAGATTCTTTTCGGGTCATAATTATATTGGAAATGGAAAACTCACCTTGAATTATGTTACAACGTTGCACTTAGTCTTTCATATTTGTTGTCAATAATTTAAAAGATATTTTGAAACACATGCGGAACGATAATAATTTTTTAAAAAAAAATAGCACAAGAAGGAAAGGGAACTCGGGTACATTTATCGAGAGCCACAAATAATCCTTCAAAAAGCGCNCGCGAGCCCCCCCCCCCCGTTCTATAGTATACTCAGGAGCAGAACTTATTTATCTACCTTCAAAATATTTACTTTAATAATAATTAAATAATTTTAGTGATTTATTCTAATGGGATTTTATTCAATAAAAATTGGAAGAATTTTGTAATTGAAAGGCTGTTTTATGTTGGTCTGAAATATAGACTAAGTTAAGCAGCTCTCTAAGGGTATCACATTAGACACCGCTATAATTTTTTTTTGTTTTTGTTTATTGATTTAAGTGTTTCTCCGTGAACAAAGAATTTTTTTTTCAAATTTGAAATATTTATTATATTTGGGGTGTTTAAAGAAGTCTAGTCTAAAAACTTTTTATTTGGGATTTCCGAAAAATTCATAAAATTTTGAAGATTTCATGGAAAATGCCGAAATACTACCACAATCTAAAATAATATGCTATTTCCAGAAAAAAAATTCTTGTAAACATATCCTGTTAATTCCCTATGTGAGCATTTTTTGGAGGAAAAAAAATTATCAGGTAATTTCTTGCTCTATGAAGTCCAGATATTACTAACAGAAGATTAAAAAAAAAAAAAAAATACAATTATACTATATACTTTTTTCATCATCGTACCTGATACTAGAGTCTTGAGAGTTAATTGGACAAATGCTGCTAATCATGACTGCATTAAAAATATACCGAATTCTCCATCTTATTTACTGCTTATATTAAGAAGGAACTTTATGGAAAATCTTGTATACTGAACTGGAAAGAAAAAAAAAACCCCACTATTTTATGTATTCTAATAGTAAATACAACATATATAAATGACATCTAGTCAGAGTTGGCAAGGTTTAGGACAGAATGGTTTAAACCGTCCTATCCGAAACCCCTTTGTCCAAAACAATGTTGTCTTAAACTGTCCAAAAACCTTCTATTCAAATTATGTCTCAATTTTAAAAAAAATATTGTGAAAAATAAAGGTTGAATTTTAAACAATATTCAGGACAGGTTATTGTTTTATTAAAACAGCTTATTATTATTTTTAATTTTGCATTATTTATCCTTATGCAAAAACATAATTTATCAATATTTAAAGCATATTCATTCATATTTTAAGGATAATGTATTCACTTTTGTTTTTCAATGAATTGGGAAGCTTCGAAAGTTAAAAATCTTTTCTTATTATATTATGCTATTTTCCTTTAATAAGTTAAAGCAAATTGTATAAAAAGTATCATATTTATTAATCTATGTAATTATTATATGTGCAATTGTTTCGCATATAGAAATTTTACCTTTTACTAATGTTCAAGGTTTTGGACACTTTAAGACAGTTTAGGACAGTTTTAGTCAGTTTAGACTGTAAAACCCTTGTGTCCTATCTAAAACCAGTTTAGGTCGTCCAAACCTTAACCCTATATCTAATATCTGTAGTTAGTAAATTTTTATCGCTTTAAAGAAGTTTGTAATTTTTTATTTATTTATTCATATGGTTGTACGTATAAGAATTTTATATGTAAACCTATTCAAAAAGTTATGAATTATTTTTTTAATTTAAAAAAGTTTCGATTTTTTTTCTCACTACTCCAAATCTCTTAAAAAACATGACACATTTTCTTAATAAATTTTTTTTTTTAAACTTTAAAGAGGATTTAAATGTTCGATGAATGATTAAAATCGCTGATTTTAATCATTTGATTCAAATTGTTGGCATCCTGTATAATGCACTGACCGAGGTTGACATTTCTGAGAGAAATAAAATAACAACTCTTCTAATCTTTAAATACTTCCTGTGTCCCATTTTAGAAACATCTTTCTTTTGTCTCCCTAACTTCAGCATTCTGTGACTTCTTGCGTAGTTTTTCACTACAAATGAAGCAGTTTTACTATTAACACTGAAACGAATCTTTTGTTATAACTTCGAGGTCCTAAATTTATTGGCAGCTTCAAAGTTTGTCTCAATATAGATTTAAAACCTTAAATAATTTAATTCTCATAATTAAAATAACTTATATATTTTTGATAAGTAAATATTTATTGTATTGAATTAAGACTTAATACAACCTTATGTGTTGGAATTTATAAATTGTGTATGTTTTAAAGTATCATCACGTTATAAACACTGGTTAACACAATTCAGATGATTTCTTTAATTGTAAGTGAAACTTACTATAATTTTTTTTTTTTAATAAAAGTTTTCTTAAGGTTATAAATTGTTTCAAAAGATTCTATAAATGCGCTGATTAGAATTTTTTTAATTTTATTATTATGATAATTTTTAACAATAAGCAATGTATACCTCTACGTATATGAATTTACATATATAGCAATGGTAAACCTCTTGAAAGGGAGTAAAAAGTGAAAGAAACTATTTGAATTTTTCTAAACAAATTGCTTAACCAAGAATGATAATTTTAAGAACTCCTTAAATCTTGGTCCAATAATTTCACTACTTGTGTATTTTATATACATTTGATAATAAGCAGTCATTGAATAATAATAAAATTTGAGTTATTTTTGGATGGTTATTATTTGAAAGGATAATAATAATTTTAATACATTACCCTCTTTATTTCTCTGGATAAAACCTTAACCTTCAGAGTATGTTCATAAATTATACTACATATTTTTTTTTTTTACTTATATCAATGATTTTTTTTAAAAAATTTGTTATTTAAATCTATGATTTATTTAAAAAAAAAATCGAGTGATTTTAATCACGCTAACTAAAATAAATACTTTACATTTTTTCAAGATCCAATACAATAATCAGCAGTTAAGTTAAACCTAAAAATAAGTTTTTTACCTAAAAGTCTTTCAATGTTTTCTTCATTAAAAAAAAATATATAATTTAGTTTTTAATTATTGATTTATAAGTAATTGAATAAAAAAATATGTTAAACAGCAAAAATGGTTAAAATATATTCGAGTGATGGAATTAGTCACTTTCTTTTGAATTTTTAAGTTTATTTGAACTTTAATTAAGACATAACACACTCACTGTAAGTGCCTTTGTTTTTCCAAAGTATTTTTAGAAATTTTGTATGAATTTAACTCATCTTTTATGCATCTGGAAATAAATTTTGTTTTGAAATTAATATTTATCATTAAGTTTATTTTTCAAGTACAATAATATATTTTAAATATTATTCTGAGACCTACAATGTAGTACCAGTAGTAGTACGATTGTTATAGTTTTTGTAACATTTAAAACACTATAAACATATAAGAGACATATTGTCTTTGTTTTTCTAGAATATTTTTGAAAATTACGAAATACGCATGCCTTTTAATTTATAAAATGTTTCTTATCCATTAGACAGAGAAAGATAATTTTTTTTTTGCTCACATTAGTGACACGCTGAAAATTTATTCCTTTTCATATTAATTTTAAAATCATTTATAATAAATTTCTTATAATTTCGGAAATTACGTATGCATTTTAATTTTTAAAAATATATCTTATATCCATTTAGCAGTAAAGATGAGATATTTTTTTTTTTCTGTTTTATTTGGATAATAAAATTAATTTTTATCGTCAATCATACTAATGTATGATTAGGGCTCCAAGAATTTCAAAAATGTTGGTAGTGAACAAAAATTTCTGGCTCCAAGAATTTAAAAAATGTTGGTAGTCAGTAAAAGCTTTAGCACCTTCCCCGTTTCTGGTTTTTCTTCTTCTTCCCATCTTTGAAATTTTGTGGAATACTTTATGCGTAAAACCAAAGATTTTACAAAATTAATGACAACATAAAATGTAATAAAAGTTTTTTTTTTAAGAAATACCAAAATAATAAAAATCTATAAAATGTATATAATTAACATCCATGTTTAATTTCAAAGTATTCTGTTTTTACAATAAAATATATTATCAGAGAATTTGCGATTGCACGTGATAAGGTTTATAGTGGTTTCTACAGCGGTTTTCTTTTCTTCTTTTTTTTCTTCTTTTTTTTCTTAGCGCAAATTTGTAAATTGAAACGCAATTTCGGTGAACTTTCACATTCCGCGGAACCCGAAATATTTCGAAGGAAAATTCCGAAATCGCGAACAGTGCAAAAAAATTACGCTATTGCTGTGGATAAAAACATATGTTTTTTCTTATTACATATTATGCAGAAATAAAATTGAAAACCTAACGAGTTTTTCATTTTTTTTTTTTTTTTTTTTTTTTTTACGATAGGAAATGAATGCGTCCCAGAAATTTTGAATCGCTTATTATTTATTTCGAATCACCTTTTGACAGACTGCGTTTATAATTGTTAAAGGTTTAATTCTATTATGACTAATGAATACTCTATTCAAACGACTCGTGTATTTCGAATGGCCCATATTAGTAATCAATTACCTTTCGAATATCCGATTTTGCACCGATTTCATAGTTAATCCAAGGTTTTCGATTGCTATTCCGCACTTTTTTCTATGGATTTCTACATGATTTTTTAAATTGCTATTTTTTTAACACGATATTATTACAAAACGCTGAATCAGAAATTTAAGGAATACGCAATAGTGAGAAGATAAGGAAAAATAGGATTTTGTCATCGATGATTGTTGAAAACACGGGTGAGAAAAAGGAAAAAAATATCGTTGTAGCTAAATTCTCTGGCAATTTTTTTTACTATAAGTATTAAAATATAAAAAAAAGTCAGGTTATGATTGAAAAGCTGAGCATATCGTCGCAACTCAAAATTTATTGGTCGCCAATGGTGACAGTATTTCACGAGCTCTGAGTATGATAAAATGTTTCAAGATATCATACTGAGATTTACAATATTGTATCAGTAGTAATAAGATAATGTAATAAATATTTTTGTAAACAGTGTCTCATCTTTCTCTATAAATAAATTTTAACCTTGCATGAAATTTAATTAATATTCTAGTTTTCTTTTTATCAGATTTATCGACAGTTTTCATTATGTATTATTGATGTCGGGACTTGACAATCGTTAAAAGTAGACCCACGTTTCAATTAAAAATATAACGGCAAATTTTTTTTAAGAACTGAAGTTCACCTTATTTTTCTAAATATTAAAAAGTTCTGAACATTCTAGAATATTAAAAAAATCTCAAGTAAGTCAACATGTTTACATAATGAAGAATGGTGAAAATGTCTATTGTTGAGTTTAAAATGTAAGCTGGTTTTCATAGTTCGAGAACTATCAGTTCATCTATCTATTTTGTAATTTTTTAAAGTTTATGGTTTAATTTTATTTGGTAGTTATAATTTTTCTTTAAACTTGTTTCTCGTTACTCAGTAAAATAATTTACTTAACTTTCGTTTGTGATGTTTTTAATACGAAAGAAAGACATATAGTGATTGCATTTTTTCTTCCACTTAATACATTTTTGACGATATTTTTTTAGTTATATACAGTCATAAAAATGTATGGAAATATTAAAAATATAACCCAAGCATGAATAAAAAAATATATTAGGTGGATCGGAAAGTAATGTCGTTTCCGTGTATTTGATATTTATCAAGATTTTATTTTTAATCAATCATTGTATTCACCCTAGTTAGCAACAACCTTTCAATGCCGGATCGTAACTGAAAATGAATAGAAATGGATCGAAAAAAATAATTCGTTTTTAAGACTAACGAATATTTAATGCGCCGAAACGACATTACTTTCCGGTTCACCTAATATAACGATATCAACAACGAGATAGAGAAAAAAAATAAAAGAACGTGACAATTTTTGGACTTAGTTGATTAGTTTGGAGAGTTATATTTTTGTCGAGAATAGTTTTTGTTTGTATTTAAGGTTTATAATTATATCGTTAAGAGTATTTCAGTTTATTTTTGCAAAGTTTATACTAATATTTCAATTTACGGATATTTCACCTTTACGGATATTTCAATTTATTTTTGCTTTGTTCATGTGTGGGTGTCAAATGAATGTGTTTTTATAAAAAAATATAAAAAAGAACTGTTTCTTCAATATATCTTGATTTGTTATAGCTAATATATATTTTTAATTAGTGGTATTGTTAAGATAAACTTACCATTCAGTTTAAAG